TCGCGTTCAGGGGCGGCGGGAGCGACGGCTGGCGTCTTTGACGCTTGCGGTGTGAACGCAGCATCAGTTCGGGGCGACGTTGGACGAGGCGCTGCGGGATCGGTTCGTGAGTGGGATCCGTGACGTGGCGTGTCAGCGAAGATTGCTTTCTGAGTCGAATCTGACTTTTGCTCGTGCATTCGAAATAGCGCTGAATATGGAGACTGCGGAGAGGGATGCTCAGCAGCTTCGGGGGCAAGCTACGCACTCGGAGCCGGTGCATAAGCTTGAAGCCCGGTTTTCCAACTGGAAGGGGAAGAAGTGTTACAGATGTAATGGTAAAAACCACGGCCCAGAGACATGTCACTTTAAAGATTCGAAATGTCACAGTTGTGGAAAAATGGGACACATTAAAAGAGCTTGTAGAGGGAAAGTGACGGCTGCGAAAATAGGTACAAAATGCCAGGAACGCTATGAAAAGAGCACAAAATATGTGGAAGCAGTGGAGACAGAATTGCCAATGTTTACGCTAACAAGCAAGCGAAATAACAAGCAAGCATTCAAAGCGAATTTTAGAGTGAACGACAAAGAAATTTAAATGGAAATTGACACCGGAGCTGCAGTGAGTATAATTTCAGAACTACTTCAGGCAAAATTCCCAGAGCAACCACTGGATGTCGCTAGCGTCAAGCTAAAGACTTACACAGGGGAAGTAATGCCTGTGTTAGGGCAATTTGAAGCTGCTGTTAGCTATAAAAAGCAAAAAGAACAGCTACCCGTGATAGTAGTAAAAGGTGCTGGGCCAGCATTGTGTGGCAGGAACTGGTTAGAAAAGCTGACTTTGGATTGGACAGAAATAAAAATGTTAGGTTGATGCAGCAACCAAAATCCATAGAGGAAGTACTAGAGTTGCACTCGGAAGTGTTTAAGGATTAATTGGGCACTCTAGGGGGTGTCACAGCAAAAATTCTTGTAAACCCTGACATCAGTCCTAAGTTTTGCAAAAGCCGCCCACTACCATTTGCCATGAAGTCAAGAGTGGACGCTGAATTAGATAGACTGGAGAAGGCTGGCATAATCTCACCCGTTAAACACAGTGAGTGGGCAGCCCCAGTGGTGCCTGTAGTAGAGAGAGACAATTCCATTCGCTTATGTGGAGATTATAAATTAACAGTAAATCAGGCTGCCATTACAGAAACATACCCCCTGCCTCGGATTGAGGAGCTGATGGCGAAGCTGAGAGGTGGAACAGTGTTCTCAAAGATTGACCTTGCTTCGGCTTACCAGCAGGTCCTGCTGGATGATGAGTCAAAAAAGCTACTGGCCATCAACACACACCGAGGTTTATTTGTGTACCATAGACTGGCTTTCGGGGTTAGTTCAGCACCCTCCATTTTTCAACGGATCATGGAGAATCTCATGAAAGATCTAGGGGTAGTAGTGTATTTGGATGATTTGGTAATTGCGGGGAAGACTGAACAAGAGCACTTACAGCAGCTGCAGAAGGTGTTACAGAGACTCCAGGAGAGCGAGTTGAGAGTGAAGAAATCCAAATGTGAGTTTGGGAAAAAGCAGGTTGAATACTTGGGACATGTTTTGAACAGCCAGTGAATTCACCCATCATCTGACAAAATAAGGGCAATCAGGGAGGCACCGGCGCCTTCATGTGTGAGAGAGCTTAGAGCTTT